TGTATCACGTCGGCATGCAACTGCTATTATTGTATCACGTCGGAATACAATTCCTATTATTGTATCACGTCGGAATGCAACTCCTATTATTGTATCACGTCGGAATACAACTCCTATTATTGTATCACGTCGGCATGCAACTGCTATTATTGTATCACGTCGGAATACAATTCCTATTATTGTATCACGTCGGAATGCAACTCCTATTATTGTATCACGTCGGAATACAACTCCTATTATTGTATCACGTCGGCATGCAACTGCTATTATTGTATCACGTCGGAATACAATTCCTATTATTGTATCACGTCGGAATGCAACTCCTATTATTGTATCACGTCGGAATACAACTCCTATTATTGTATCACGTCGGCATGCAACTGCTATTATTGTATCACGTCGGAATACAATTCCTATTATTGTATCACGTCGGAATGCAACTCCTATTATTGTATCACGTCGGAATACAACTCCTATTATTGTATCACGTCGGCATGCAACTGCTATTATTGTATCACGTCGGAATACAATTCCTATTATTGTATCACGTCGGAATGCAACTCCTATTATTGTATCACGTCGGAATACAACTCCTATTATTGTATCACGTCGGCATGCAACTGCTATTATTGTATCACGTCGGAATACAATTCCTATTATTGTATCACGTCGGAATGCAACTCCTATTATTGTATCACGTCGGAATACAACTCCTATTATTGTATCACGTCGGCATGCAACTGCTATTATTGTATCACGTCGGAATACAATTCCTATTATTGTATCACGTCGGAATGCAACTCCTATTATTGTATCACGTCGGAATACAACTCCTATTATTGTATCACGTCGGCATGCAACTGCTATTATTGTATCACGTCGGAATACAATTCCTATTATTGTATCACGTCGGAATGCAACTCCTATTATTGTATCACGTCGGAATACAACTCCTATTATTGTATCACGTCGGCATGCAACTGCTATTATTGTATCACGTCGGAATACAATTCCTATTATTGTATCACGTCGGAATGCAACTCCTATTATTGTATCACGTCGGAATACAACTCCTATTATTGTATCACGTCGGCATGCAACTGCTATTATTGTATCACGTCGGAATACAATTCCTATTATTGTATCACGTCGGAATGCAACTCCTATTATTGTATCACGTCGGAATACAACTCCTATTATTGTATCACGTCGGCATGCAACTGCTATTATTGTATCACGTCGGAATACAATTCCTATTATTGTATCACGTCGGAATGCAACTCCTATTATTGTATCACGTCGGAATACAACTCCTATTATTGTATCACGTCGGCATGCAACTGCTATTATTGTATCACGTCGGAATACAATTCCTATTATTGTATCACGTCGGAATGCAACTCCTATTATTGTATCACGTCGGAATACAACTCCTATTATTGTATCACGTCGGCATGCAACTGCTATTATTGTATCACGTCGGAATACAATTCCTATTATTGTATCACGTCGGAATGCAACTCCTATTATTGTATCACGTCGGAATACAACTCCTATTATTGTATCACGTCGGCATGCAACTGCTATTATTGTATCACGTCGGAATACAATTCCTATTATTGTATCACGTCGGAATGCAACTCCTATTATTGTATCACGTCGGAATACAACTCCTATTATTGTATCACGTCGGCATGCAACTGCTATTATTGTATCACGTCGGAATACAATTCCTATTATTGTATCACGTCGGAATGCAACTCCTATTATTGTATCACGTCGGAATACAACTCCTATTATTGTATCACGTCGGCATGCAACTGCTATTATTGTATCACGTCGGAATACAATTCCTATTATTGTATCACGTCGGAATGCAACTCCTATTATTGTATCACGTCGGAATACAACTCCTATTATTGTATCACGTCGGCATGCAACTGCTATTATTGTATCACGTCGGAATACAATTCCTATTATTGTATCACGTCGGAATGCAACTCCTATTATTGTATCACGTCGGAATACAACTCCTATTATTGTATCACGTCGGCATGCAACTGCTATTATTGTATCACGTCGGAATACAATTCCTATTATTGTATCACGTCGGAATGCAACTCCTATTATTGTATCACGTCGGAATACAACTCCTATTATTGTATCACGTCGGCATGCAACTGCTATTATTGTATCACGTCGGAATACAATTCCTATTATTGTATCACGTCGGAATGCAACTCCTATTATTGTATCACGTCGGAATACAACTCCTATTATTGTATCACGTCGGCATGCAACTGCTATTATTGTATCACGTCGGAATACAATTCCTATTATTGTATCACGTCGGAATGCAACTCCTATTATTGTATCACGTCGGAATACAACTCCTATTATTGTATCACGTCGGCATGCAACTGCTATTATTGTATCACGTCGGAATACAATTCCTATTATTGTATCACGTCGGAATGCAACTCCTATTATTGTATCACGTCGGAATACAACTCCTATTATTGTATCACGTCGGCATGCAACTGCTATTATTGTATCACGTCGGAATACAATTCCTATTATTGTATCACGTCGGAATGCAACTCCTATTATTGTATCACGTCGGAATACAACTCCTATTATTGTATCACGTCGGCATGCAACTGCTATTATTGTATCACGTCGGAATACAATTCCTATTATTGTATCACGTCGGAATGCAACTCCTATTATTGTATCACGTCGGAATACAACTCCTATTATTGTATCACGTCGGCATGCAACTGCTATTATTGTATCACGTCGGAATACAATTCCTATTATTGTATCACGTCGGAATGCAACTCCTATTATTGTATCACGTCGGAATACAACTCCTATTATTGTATCACGTCGGCATGCAACTGCTATTATTGTATCACGTCGGAATACAATTCCTATTATTGTATCACGTCGGAATGCAACTCCTATTATTGTATCACGTCGGAATACAACTCCTATTATTGTATCACGTCGGCATGCAACTGCTATTATTGTATCACGTCGGAATACAATTCCTATTATTGTATCACGTCGGAATGCAACTCCTATTATTGTATCACGTCGGAATACAACTCCTATTATTGTATCACGTCGGCATGCAACTGCTATTATTGTATCACGTCGGAATACAATTCCTATTATTGTATCACGTCGGAATGCAACTCCTATTATTGTATCACGTCGGAATACAACTCCTATTATTGTATCACGTCGGCATGCAACTGCTATTATTGTATCACGTCGGAATACAATTCCTATTATTGTATCACGTCGGAATGCAACTCCTATTATTGTATCACGTCGGAATACAACTCCTATTATTGTATCACGTCGGAATACAACTGCTATTATTGTATCACGTCGGAATACAATTCCTATTATTGTATCACGTCGGAATGCAACTCCTATTATTGTATCACGTCGGAATACAACTCCTATTATTGTATCACGTCGGAATGCAACTCCTATTATTGTATCACGTCGGAATACAACTCCTATTATTGTATCACGTCGGAATGCAACTCCTATTATTGTATTACGTCGGAATACAACTCCTATTATTGTATCACGTCGGAATACAGCTCCTATTATTGTATCACATCGGAATACAACTCCTATCATTTTTTCATAATGGAATATAACTCCTATCATTGTATCAGAATTAACTATAACTCCTATTATTATATCATAAAGAAGTTTAACTCGTTTCACTGTATCAGATCGGAATACAACTCCTATCATTGTATCACATTGGAATATTACTCCTATTATTGTATATCATCGGCATATAACTCCTATTACTGTATAAGATCGGAATATAACTCCTATCATTTTTTCATAATGAAATATAACTCCTATTATTGTATCATAATGGATTTTAACTCACATAATTGTATCGGAATATAACGTATGCTATACACCTCTGAAAATCAATGTCATCACATAGGAATACAACTCCTGTCATTGTATCACGTGGAAATATTACTCCCATTATTGTATCACATCGAAATATAACGCTTATCATTGTATGACATCGAAATATAACTCCTATCATTGTATCATATCGGAATATTACTCTTATTATTGTATCATATCGGAATATTACTCCTATCATTGTATCACATCGGAATACAACTCCTATCATTGTATCACGTGGAAATATTACTCCTGTCATTGTATCACATCGAAATCTAACGCCTATCATTGTGTCACATCGAAATACAACTCCTATCATTGTTGTGCACGGAGATATTTTTCCACATCCCAGATTGTTAGAAAATGATTGTATCCATATTCCAAACATCCGATAACCCTCATCATCCTCATCATCCGATACTGGTATTGGGGAGATGATGAATTGTATTTGCGGTAATAGGAGAGATCCGAATACGGTGATTTGTGACGAGGAAATTGTAGATTATTGATAAGAATCGGATGAACCCAATATATTGTAAATCCATCGATCTGATGAATACATTGTATCATGTACATAACGAACGATATAAGAAAGAGGCATTTTATTCCTGGGGACGGAATTGGTGGAATATAAAGGAGAAGATGATCAGAAGATACAAAGAATCGATCTATAAATCGGATGAGCTGATATTAATTGTACAAAACGATTAAAAAACAACAACAATTCTCTGCATTCTGCGATCTTTATGATTATCACACGATAAAACACAGATAGCGATCGTAAAAAAATGAAAGGAATCGTGAAATATTTTTATACGCAAAGAATGAAACGAATATAAATTGTCTGGAAGATTCGCGGATATAAAATGGATAAAAATGGAATAACAATGAGAGAAATGATCGATTACAGATACAAATGGAGGATTATTGATGTGAATTGTAATCTATTGATGATCGGATGGCAGAGATCCTTCGTACGGAATAATATCGCTCGCTATAATAAGAGCTCCTCACTGGGAGAAATCTCGGAGGGGCCCCTGACTCACCTGAGCTGCAGGTCCGACTCTCGTCCTCGGGCCCCGGACTTCTAAGGGGCCCCTGTTGCTCCCGCAGTAATAGGGCCGGCTGACTGTAGAAATTCGGAATGGCTGTGGCACCGAGGAGCCCCAAACCAGAGCGAGCTGCCAGTAGATGGGCCCCTGGAGGAATGGGGGCAATGTGGCCCCTGGGAGGGGTAGGAGGCTCCTTATTAAGTCCCAAAATTTCCTGGATGCCAAATCCTGTGCTTCTGGGGGCTCCTGGGGGCCCCTCTCTGCCTGTCATCATGTCCAGCCTGGAGCCACAACTGACTGGCAGCCTCACCCGCTGCTTATATAACACCCCACCCGGGTGTCACATCAGACTCCGCCCCCCTGCGGGCGGCGACCGGCGGGTGTAGATGGGAGAGATGTATCCGCAGAGGCTTCTTATCATCATCCTCATCATCATCTTCATCATCATTCTCATCCTCCTCCTCATCACCATCCTCAATCGGGGACTCAGCACAGGGGTGGTGGGAGCTCCTCATAATGGGCACAGCGGGTGTACAGACCCGGGAACTTTATTTGCAGTTTTAGGGTTTGTTTGGATTATAGCTCGGAGGGTGATATCAGCTGATGGGGGGAGGGGTGTGTGGTGATGGGGGTTTTTATTAGGTGATGAAGGATAGCAGGGCCAAAACTAGGTGTAGGGGGGGTGGGGGTGGGGCATTTCCCCCCCGGGTGCCGCATTAGGAGGGGCACCGCCGGCAGGGTGAGCAAGCGACTAAGGATGCACCAATACCGCCAGTACTCATGAAGACGCCCCCATACTAAACGCTGACACCATCGCTTTCACTTTATCAGATTTTTAAACGGAAGAGGCTTCCTGAGGTCCTGTGCTTGCTGGGGACCTCAGCATCCTTCCGGTGAACCCCCGGCAACTGTTTACAGCCCCAGCTCCTCCTCCTCCATCTCCATGACTCTCCAGACCCCTCCTGAGACCCTGCACAGCCTTCCTGAGACCCGACACAGCCTTCCTGAGACCCCGCAAATCCCTCCTGAGACCCTGCACAGCCTTCCTGAGGCCCTGCACATCCCTCCTGAGACATGGCACAGCCCTCCTGAGACCCGGCACAGCCCTCCTGAGACCCGGCACAGACCTCCTGAGACCCTGCAAATCCCTCCTGAGACCCGGCACAGACCTCCTGAGACCCGGCACAGACCTCCTGAGACCCCGCAAATCCGTCCTGAGACCCTGCACATCCTTCCTGAGACCCTGCACATCCCTCCTGAGACCCGGCACAGACCTCCTGAGACTCGGCACAGACCTCCTGAGACCCTGCAAATCCCTCCTGAGACCCCGCAAATCCCTCCTGAGACCCTGCACAGACTTCCTGAGACCCTGCACATCCCTCCTGAGACCCTGCACATCCCTCCTGAGACACGGCACAGACCTCCTGAGACCCGGCACAGCCCTCCTGAGACCCGGCACAGACCTCCTGAGACACGGCACAGACCTCCTGAGACCCGGCACAGCCCTCCTGAGACCCGGCACAGACCTCCTGAGACACGGCACAGACCTCTTGAGACCTGGCACAGCCCTCCTGAGACCCTGCACAGCCCTCCTGAGACCCTGCATAGCCCTCCTGAGACCCCGCACATCCCTCCTGAGACCCCGCACAACCTTCCTTAGACCGTGCACAGCCCTCCTGAGACCCCGCACAGACCTTCTGAGACCCCACACAGCCTTCCTGAGACCGTGCACAGCCCTCCTGAGACCCTTCACAGCCCTCTTGGCCCCCGGTGCCACTGAAGGTAGGGTGTCAGGTGAGGTATCGGGTGATGGGGTGTCATCCGGTGGTAGGGTTGGATACAGCCTGTTTTGCCGGGGGAGATGTAGCCGGCGGTTGGCCTTGGAATGAGCCGCAGCGGATCGGCAGCGGGCGCTCGCCCTCGTTAAGCTGTAATTCCTTCTAATCAGCAATTATCGGAAATTATTTTCACTTTTAATTTATTTTCGGAGGAAATTCCGCCATCTGCCCCGATAATTGGGAGGTTGTAATTTATGTAAATGAGGCGGGGGGGGGG